ATAGAACAAGGGACTAGATATTAGGAAGAATCTCCCAAGAAAGGGGAAATATATATTTATAGAAGGAGGGGGTGAGGAGACTGGAATGGAAGGATTGAATGGAGCGGGGAGGGAAGAAAGGGTAAGGGAGAAATTACAGGGAAGGACAGCTAAAACTAAAGGACATCTGAGAGGTCATTATGGAAATCTATTACAGAAGAAGCTTCTTAAAATATATAAATATATGAAAGAAGTCTAAATAGGGTCACCAAATAACAAAGAAGAAAAGTCCGAACTAGACATCTCTCTCCACCAAATGAAGCCTCCAGTGCCAAGAATCGGTTGCCTCTAATTGAGTTGTTAGCCAAAGAGACCACGTAGAAACCACCGAACAACCAAGACTACTGCCAAGGCTGTTGGTTGTTCTCCACAAACTGAGAGTTAGGGCCCCATTGCTGAAGACAGCACCTGGACAACTCATTGAACATAAAGAACTCGAGCTGTGCCTACCTAGCGCCTTCACCCCTACTGACTAGTGTCCACAGTAAGAGAAGGTACTCTACACACTACCATAGGAGAAAGGCAAACACTGGCCCAGCTACAAACCCTCTCATCTACAAGAGTGACCTGCCTGCAATATATGCTGGTGCACTAGTGGCACAAAGCTTGTGGGAGTAACCAACCAGTACCTGCTTTGGGTGAAGGCCTACTCCATGAGATAGAACCCATACTCAATGCTGCATTGATGGCTGAGAACCTGAGAATACATAGAACATGGATCCAGGGGGAAACCAACCTCTACTGTCTTGCTAAAGAAGCATAGTGATAAAATGACTTGTATTCTGCTATACTCTTTGACCAGTGCCTTGCTTATCCATCATTGGAGAAACTTCCTCCTGTAGCAGATGGAAACAAATACAGATACACACAGCCAGATAATATGCAGATAGTAAGAGATGTCTCTTTCCCTCTGGCTGGTGTCAGGTTTGAGTGCTTTCCTCTCCCTGCTCTTCAAACTTGTAAAAGTCTTTTTCTCTGTTGACCCATCCCACCATACTGGGGGGGGGGGGTGGAAAATCCACAGGGGAGGCCTGTGAGAGTCATGGGCTGGTCCTGTGGGGATAACTGCAGCCTGTCTATCAAGGCCACCCGGCTTGTGCTTGTGCTCTCCTGCTCTGCTGGAGAGCTGTGCCCTGAGAGCTCTACTTCCCTGGGCGCTAGTCTCCTCAGAGCCTCAGCTGTCATGTCTCTGCATTCTTCAGCAGTCCTGTCACACATGCTGGGAGTTTCTGAAACTTGCTGTTCCTCTCTTTATTTGGAATAGTCTTTTCTTTCCAGAGAAACAGACTTCTCTAACAGCAACACTACACCAAACAAGACATGAAAACATACTTACAACTGAGTAAAGCTCACTAGTATACCATCAATGACCACAGAACAGCAAACAAACAAACAAACAAACAAAAAACAGTGTACAGTATTGTGAAGTTAAAGAGCAGATGTGCCAATACTATGAAATTTCAAAAAAAAAAATATTTAGAGTGGAGATTAGTGCAGCTGTCAGTCCTCATCTGAGAACTGTCTTTGTTCGGTGCATGGCAATTAATACAGAAATTCACAACTGGTCAAAGTGCAGAGAGTAAGTGTCTGTAGAATGCTCAGCCGTAAGTAGGCCATCTATATCACTGCCTTTCCCCCACCCCCACAAGGCTCAGGGAAGGCTGCAGAAGAGGGATCAGAAAAAGACAGTAACAGCCAAAGGCCAGACAGAAATGAGGCAAAACAGTGTTTTCAGGACACCACAAACCCATTGCACTTATGAATCCACAGGAGCTGGATTACCTGAATAAAACCAGCACTAGATCAAGCCAGTCCACATTCCCAACATGGATAGGGGTGGGATTTAAGACCCTCATCCTAGCTACCAGGAGGCCATTCTTTTCCTAGAGGCCTTCATATGAAGATATAGAACTCTCAGCTCCTCCTGCACCATGCCTGCCTAGATGCTGCCATGATGCTGCCTTGATGATACTGGACTGAATCTCTGAACCTGTAAAACAGCCCCAATTAAATGTTGTCCTTATAAGAATTGCCTTAGTAATGACATCTATTCACAGCAGTAAAACCCTAAGACGGAAGTTGGTACCAGGGACTGAGTATTGCTGTGATAGACTTGACCATGCTTTTGTTTGGAAGAATGTGGATTTTGGCACTTTGGATTTGGAAAGCCATGGAGTGCTTTAACTGGGGCTTAATGGACTATCTTAGTAGGAATATGTAACACTGTTGTTGAGAGTCATTTGAATTGTACAGACCTGGCCTAAGAGGTTTCAGTGGAAAAGAACTTCAGTATGTGGCCTAGAGACTAGTTTTGTGTTATTTTGGTGAAGAATGTGGATGCTTATGGCCCTTATCTGAAGAGTCTACCTGAGCTCAGTTAAAGTAAGGAGATTTATATTTATTGCATTGACAAAGGAAATCTCAAAAAAAAAAAAAAAAAAAACAGGAGAGACTTTGTTCTCTGGTTTAGCCTCATGAAGAACATTCTGATTAAGCATAGCACACTTAAAAAGAAAAAATTCAAAATGTATGGTTCAAGTAATATTAAAGAGACACCAGAAAGTAAAATGGTGCCAAATCCTATGTTCAAGCAATAAAGAGGTTAAGGGAGTGGTGATCTCAGGGCAAGATCCCACCAAGCTAAGCTTATTGTTTATGCTTTTGCAGTTGAACAAGGGACTTGGTTATTGTTTTCGTTTGGACTTTTAATCTGGAATGAACTATAGTCCAGAAATGGAGAACCCACTTGTGATCCAGACCTTGAGGCTGGAAGACACAGGCTTTTGATCTTGATCTTGAGGAACAATAGCCATGAAAAGCTAAGGCTCAGGCATGGTGCTACACATTTTTAATCCCAGGAGACAAAGGCAAGCAGATCTTTGAGTTCAAGGACAGAGCAAGTTCTAGGTGAAGAAAAAGCTTAAGTCCAGGTGTAGTGATACATGCCTTTAATCCCAGCATTCAGGAGACAGGGTCATGCAGATCTCTGAGTTCAAGGTCAAGCTACCAGTTTCAGGTTACAAGTTTCAGGACAGCCAAGCTTAGGCAGTGAAGGAGTTGGAAAACAGAAAGCTGGTGATAATGTAATATAACAAGGGGCCACGGCCCAGTCTCAGCAAGCGGTAGAACTTGGCAGATTCAGCCATGTGGCTCTGGCTTTAGAATCCAGGACAGAAGGGACTTGTGGGACAATTGATGTTGGTTTCCTGGAGCTAAGGAATTAGTGGTAATTAAGAAGAGACCAGTGTCACTAAGGTGAAATCTGGGAAGAGTTTTTGAGAGCACAAAGAAACTGTGTTCCAGAGATAGCCAAGGTTATACTTCATGCTGCAGCTAGACTCGGTTATGTGTAAGAATCACCTTGGTAGTACTAGTTTTGAAGGTACAAAGGGGTGATGGAGTGTAGCTAAGGTTTAGCACTATGAGAGGCCAGGCAAGGCCTTTGGTGAATGTATAGCCTTAGTTGCAGTTGATAGTCTAGGACTGAAAAGGTTATGTAAAGAAGTTGAGGTTTGACACCATGAAGAGAACCTATGAGAGGCTATTGGTGAAGACTAGTTGCAACAGAAGACCCTACCATATTGGAGATGGCAGTACCATGGGGTGATCACCAAGAACAGTAGCAGCAGTGCAGTGGAGTTAACCAGAGTCTAGAGAGCTGCAGAGGGCAGAGCTGGAGAAGTAACACCAGCCATTTGAAGGAGCCCAGAAGATCATGTGTGGATCCCAGACACTGAAACAAGAAGTTGTAAGATTGAAGTTGCCTTTGAGACCCCAAGATGTTAGAGATGCCAGAGCCATGGGATACCTGCTGAAGAAAGCTGCTAACAGGGAGTGGATCCAGCCCAGGAAAAAGAAGACTGTTGCAGTCAACAAAGATGAAAAAGGAGTTGGAGATCTGAAGACTACTTTGACATCAGACAAGCAGATTCAGAGTTTGGAATTTGCCCATCTGCTTTTTGGTTTTGTTTGGTCCAGTATTTCCTCACTATGACATTTTAAAATAATAATGTATGATAATGATGTTAAAGATATGTGATCTGCTTTTTTATTTTGACTTTATAGGTAATTACAGTTAAGTGATTGAGTGAATCTCAAAAAAGACTTTGAATTTTAGACTTTCAACATTGTTGAGGCTGTTATAGACTATGGGAGTTTTGAAGTTGGACTAAATGTATTTTTCATTGTGCTTTGGCTAGGTATGGCCCCCAGAGACTCATGTGTTTGAACAAGCCTATGGAAGCCAAGGAGTGGAATGCGGTGGTTTGAATATGCTTGGCCCAGGAGGTGGCACTATTAGGAGATGTGGCCTTGTTGGAGGAAATATGTCACTCACTGTGGGAGTGGGCTTGGAGACCCTCCTTCTAGCTTCCAGGAAGCCACTCTTCTCCTTGAGGCCTTCAGATGAAGATGTAGAACTCTCAGCTCCTCCTGTACCATGTCTGTCTGGATACTGCTATACTCCAGCCGTGATGATAATGAACTGAACCGAACCTCTGAACCTATAAGCCAGCCCCAATTAGATGTTGTCCTTTATAATAGTTGCCCTTGTCATGGTGTCTGTTCACAGCAGTAAAATCCTAACTAAGAAATAGCCTCATGTCCATGTGTGTATGGAAAGCATCATTTGCTCTCAGAGGCTTATATTATAAACAAGATAACATGAAGTTGGGAGAGAGAATCTGGTAGAAGTTGAAAGGGAAAGTAGAGGTGAATATGCCTGAAATACATGTACGCATGTATAAAATTATCAAAGAATAAATAAAAATATTAATAATGTTAGTATTATTTAAAAAGTCAATATCATAAAGGATGAAAATATAATGAAATAAATAAGAAAAGAGGGGAAAGGAGAAAAGCAAAGCATGAGGAAGATTAATTAAGAGAAGAAAAGAGGGAAGATAGAGAAGAATATTATGACAAGGGACAAGGGAGAGAATAACTCAAGGGATTTAAAAATGTGTACCCCTAGAGGTATTGCAGGTGTGGCTGCTGTGTCACATGTGCATCCCTAGGTGACAGAGAGGAAAGAGCCTATGTCTACACTCAGTGTCCTGACCTGTGGACAGCTGAGTGATTAGAAGCCTAACATTCCCTGAGAAAAACAAGACTGAGCCAACCACCAGTCTGGTGCAGCATAGACCTGGACAGGCTCCCAGGGTACGGAGCAAGCTGGAGACTAGAAGAATTCCACCTGGGACAACTATCAGACCTGCACCATGAAGCTCAGATAGGAAGCTAGCCTAAGCTGGCCATCAGTCTAGCCTGGGGACATGTTGATGTCTGAGGACATGTTGATGCAGAACTCATCCTGGACATCATGGGGGATCTGGTTCTTGGGGCATGGGAGCAGGAGAGTAGACTCCACCCTTAGCTAGCTGCAGTACCCTGGACAGCAGCCCCGATCCCTGTACAGTGCAGGTGTTTTTGAGGGTGAGTGGGGGTGGCCCAGAGGATATGAGCATGGGAAAGCTGGCCCTACCACATCTCCCATGTTTGCTTCTCACCACCTGTGGTTGGCAGGAGTCCTGGCCCAAGGGTCATGAGAGCAAGAGAGCTAGCCCTGCCCCTCACCACCTGCAGTACTTGGGAGAACAGGCCCTGTACCTTGTCTGGACAGCACAGTAGAGCTGGCCCTGAATGTGGGGTTTTCATGTGAGCTAGCCCAAGTATTTTTTTAAAAATCTGATTGACTTGTTAAAAAAAAGTAGATAAAAATACATTAATATAAAATTAAGACACAAATACTTATTTAAAAACTCAAAATATTACTAAAATAATAGTACATTAAAAGAGGAAATCACAGTAGGGGCAAAGAAAAAGCACTGAGGCAGCTTCTAAGCCCATGAAAATGAGGTTACCACATAAAAGGAAGGAGGATCACTTTCTAGCTCTAGAGTCTGTGGGCTGGGGAGGCTCTCCCCACCTCCACAGACTCCTCAGCACACCCTCAGAGGGCTCCTGCTCTATCCAGGATAGACGGTCTCCTTGGACTACTGGAAGTGAAGGAAGAAAGCTCTGACATATAGATATACAAGAGGGACAGTTTTGCCCTCCCCTTCTCCTCAGAGGCTGTTGGCCATCAGCCTGAGGTGACAAAGGGAGCAGAGGTGGGGAGCAGGGTTCAGCTGGCTGTGAGTATGGCAGATAGACCTCCGGAGACTGCCGAAGTGAAATGAGTCTACTTTACTGTTTAAGGGATAGGGTATACAAGGGCTCTTTAGGGGTACAAGTGCAAAGGGCTAACTGGTCATAGCATCAAGCAAGGGGAAAGAGCTTATTGGTTATAATACAACACCAAATTATTGTGCGGGAAGGAAGCCAGAGAGGGATATGTGTGCTGAATTATACAGCCTTGCAGAGACCTCTGTACAAGGTCACTTTTCAGACAAGGACAGATAAGGCCAGCCGCCTGTGTTCAGGGACACTCTCGAGACAAAGACAAGCAGAGACAGGGAACACTTATTGAGAAACAGAGCTCTCTCATTTTGTCCCAAGCTCAGACGGCCATCTGCTCATGGAAGACTGTTACCTTAATAGCAGGGTTCCCCAACAGCCAGTCCTCACTTTTTTTTCTCATCACTTGCTCATCTTTAACTACATTGTTTAAGGAACGAGGCAGTGGAAGTTAGGTACCCTGCTGCTGTGTCAGAGTTTCCAGTTCAGCCAGAAATGAACCTCACGTCAGACGGGTGATTCCAGAGTTGAGCTGACCTCAGATCCCACCTATCAGACTCCGGTGATTCTCAGGTATCAGAGTAGGGAGCAGTACCAGTACCCTTATTCGCCACTGTGAAGCTTCCTGCCGCCCGGACTTCTCCGTGTGTGCATGTGTGTTCCCATGTGTGCATGTGTGTTCCTCCCTCACACACATGATAGATGCCTCCTTCAGCTCTCTTCCACCCTTACACTGTGGCAGACCAATCCCAAGTGCCCTTATTTGTGGCAGTTTCTCTGTATCAAGACTCTAGAGTCTTTCAATATTAAGCAACATGTTTTGTCTCAAGATGATGTCTAACCAAGCGCTCCAGGACATGGTATCTTAGTTACGGTATCTATTGCTGTGATAAAGTAACCTGGCCATAAACAACCTGGGAAGTAAAGTGTTTATTTCAGCTTACAACTCTCAGGTCACACTTCATTGCTGGGGAAAGTCAGGACAGGAACTCACAGGGCAGGAAACTGGAGTTACAAACTGGTGCAGACAAGCCATGGAGGGGTGCTGCTTACTGGCTTACCTTCTGGCTTCCTCAGCCTGCTTTTTAAAACAAAACAAACAAACAAACACCACCTCTCTTAGCTAGGGTTTCTGTTGCTGTGAAGAGACAACATGACCTCAGCAATTCTTATAAAGAAAGCCTTTAATTGGGGATGGCTTAAAGGTTCAGAGGTTTAGTCTATTATCACTTTGGTGGAAAGCATGGCAGTGTCCAAACAGACAAGTACTGGAAAAATTCTATATCCAGGTCAACAGGAAGCAAGGAGAAAGTCACTGGGCCTGGCTTGGACATTTAAAACCAGTGGCACACCTCTTATAAGGCCACATATCTTAACCCTTTCAAATAGTGCACTGCTATTGTATCTATGAGGGCCATTTTCACTCGAACTACACTGTGGTGGCACTTTCCACAGTGAACCTCAGGTTTTTCCACAGACCAATCAGATGGAGGTTTTTTTGTTTGTTGGTTTGGGTTTTGGTTTTGGTTTTCCGAGACAGGCGTTTCTCTGTGTAGTCTTCACTGCCCTGGAACTCACTCTGTAGACCAGGCTGGCCTCAAAACTCAGAGATCTACCTGCCTCTGCATCCTGAGTGCTGGAATTAAAGGCTTGTGCCACAACTGCCCAGCTGGGGTACTTTCTTACTAAGGTTTCACTTTCCAAATGCCTCTAGCTTGAATCAAGTTGACACAAAACCAGATAGCACAATTGACCTCTTGTCAACTCGGCACACAAAACTCATTACTGTACATCTAGAACCTTTCTTATCCTTGAACTCTGGGACAAATCCCCAAAATGACCTGTCAATATTAACATCACGATGTAAAACATTCCAACTTTTAAAAGTCTCACAGTTTAAAAATCCAAATACTTTAAAAGTTCAATCTCCTTAAAAATCCAAAGGCTCTTTCAAAGCTCAAAGTTTCTAAAAAATATTCAGAGTTTCTCTGAAACATCCAAAGCTTTTCCAAAACATCCAAAGTCTCTATAAAATTCCCAAGTACCTTAATTGTGGGCTTCTGTGATAGATAGATAGATAGATAGATAGATAGATAGATAGATAGATAGATAGATAGAT